AAAATAAAAAAAAAAAAAAAAAAGGACAAAAATAATGTATACTAAATTACTACATGTGAGCCTTCATTATTATTATTATCATTATTATACACAGTGTATTTATGCAGTTCAGGCTGGACTCAAATTCGCAGTGGTTCACCTGCCTCAGCCTCTCAAGTGCTGGTTACAGGCGTGTGCCACCACAGCTAGCCTTTAAGATTATTTTTTTCCAGTACCAAGGATCGAACTCAGGACCTTGCACTTGCCAGGCAGGTGGGGCACCACTGAGCTAAATCCCTGGCCTGATAGCTTCTCTCTTTTTTTGGTTTTTTGAGACAAGATCTCACTGTGTAGTTGAGACTGAGCTGGAACTCACTAAGTAGCCCAGGCTGGTCTCAAACTCACAGCGATCCTCCTGCCTCAGCCTCCCGAGTGCTGGGATCACAGGTGTGCGCCACCATGCCTGGCTGGAATAAGTTTCTTAACACTAAAACAAAGGGAAGTGCATAGCACGACACACAGACCCACGGGGGAGAAACAGGTGGTCAGAAGAAACATGAGCAAGAAAACAGGCCACAGCACTTATTGGAATTTCTACCAAAAAGTCAAACCAAGGCAGGAAAAAATATTCTAAAGGGCAAGTGCACAGATGTCTTGAGCTTTGCCCTGGTTTGGTTTAGGGCAGGGGAAATACTGGCTAGGTTCTCAAGCTTAGAGGAACTGGTGTGGATCTGGGCTTTGGATTCATTGGTTTGAATATGAAATATGTGGTCCCAAGCAAGTTGCTTACTGTCAGGAGGAATTACCAAGACTGGGGAGAGGCCAGCAAAATATACATGATGTCAATGTATCGTAGCACACAGGAAATAGAATCTGTAACTAATACATTGGTCTGATGTTCAGACATCACACTTGAGAATGAGGACCAGAGAGGGTTTCAATAAAAGGGCATTAAGTTGCCCTAAAGAGTATAGAAAAATTTTTTGTTTTGTTTTGGTACCGGGAATCAAACTCAGGACTTTGCACTGGCCAGGCTGGTACGATGCCACTGAGCTAAATCCCCAGGCCTGAAAATAAGTATTTTGAGTTGGAAGGAGAAATACAACTGGAAGTGTGAGCGGTTTGCACAAGCTTGGCCATAACAAAGCTCCCGACTATTGGCACTGTTCAAGAAAATCGATCTGAAAATTTTCAGACCTGAAAACAGGTTTGAAATTGTAGAGTTGTCACATGTGCTAAAATGTCTGAGTTTGACCATAATCAGGGTAAGAAGTCTGGATTGTAGGGCGTGAACTCTACTGAAACACATACAAAAACATGGTTTTCTCTGAAACCAAGGCGAAGAAGTAAGGAAATCACAGACTGCTGTGGGGGCAGTAGGAGGCGTGGGGAAGACAAGCCATACCCGGCTCACCAGCGGGTGACTGACACACAGCCTGTGCCTCCTGAGGAAACCAAAAAAATGTCTGAGCAACTTTCAGGATAGCACACATACCAGTCATCTCTTCAGGCTTTCCTATAGTCCTGGAGTGACAAGTGTACCTTATAACTGAGGTTACACCAGGACTATGCGCTAGACCACCAGCGAGCCTGGGCACACAACATTATCCCACATGCCTGGGCAGCGCTGGTTCATGGGAATTGCTATGGAGGAGGGTCCTCTGAACTTATGAACTCAACTCCAACAAAGGCAGGGAGATCCCCCGATGCAAGGCCTTGGAGTTGGAGGGCGTCTTCACCACCAGCAGTGAGCCTTTCGGGGAGAGTGTGGGCTGTGACACTGGGCTGTCCTTTGTTAATTTCACATCCAAGCCCAAGGGGGAGAGACCACCCTGTAGTACGGACTTTACCCCACCACCTCAGTGCTCATACTCAGGAAGCTCTGAGCAAGTTCCCTGGGGGACCTTCATACCTTATTTTAGGCCATCAGGATGGTAGGTAAGGCCAGTCTAGGAGCTGTGACAACTTGTATAAGGGACTGGTCTGATAAGTTTTAGTGTCACTGCCAGAGAAATGTGCTAACACATGGGGCAAATAGCAACCTCACACCCACAGAAGAAAATTCCGTCACCCACTCCTCACCACAAACACACAACACAAAGGTACAGGTTTCTTCCATTCAAGATTTATTCTTCGCCTTGTTTTGGGTTACACCGCACTGGCTGGACTAACAGCCACAGAAAGAGCTGTCAAGTGGCCAAAGCTCTGATGACTGGATACAACAACCCAAGGCTGCTCGAGCAACAGAGGTGTAGAACTTGGGACCCCTGAGGCTGCAACCTGGTTGCGCTGGGAATGTTTGGGCCTAAAGGCCACACATTTTTCACACATTCAGGAAATGCCAAGATGATTTCCAGCACAGTAGGACACAGTGACCAGCTGTGTTCACAGGCATTTTTCTGTTTTCACAGTACACGGGAGGAAAAAAATCCAGATTTTACTACCGGTCCCAGCTGTTGCTTGACTCAGGCATACCAAATTGCTTTGCCAAGGGGCAGAATGCACGTAGAAGTAGGAACACAGAGCCAGGCCTGTCCCAACTCCTTGCACTGCCCGATGCCCCGGGATTTCCCATTTCCAAATGCAGGTGCTCTCCTGCACTTGATGGCCACGAAACTGAGGCAGCTCTCTCACCACTAGCTATTCATTCACCCCGTTTCCACTCAACTCTTCTGCACCCGCACTTTTTATCTGAAAGGGTCAGATGTGAAGGAGAAATAAGGATATTTAACCAACACCGAGTGTGTACCCCAAACTTGGGGCCTCAGTAGGTGGACCGTATTTAAGAACATGACAAACCAACCAAAGAATCTACAGTGCTTAACACAGTACCGCCTGTATTCCGAAGGCCCACTTTTCACCAGGCTGCTACTCAGAAGTTGTAGTAACTCCAATGAAATGGTATTGCTAAGGAGGGAAAGAAAGGTGAATCCCTCCGGGTATGAACAGGACAGAATCACAAATGTTAAAAATAAACCAGGCCCATGTGGACGGCCGTATTTTCATCAGCATACCAGATTTCAGAACATGAGGACAAAATTCTTATGTGCCATGTGTTCACTTTTCTTGGGTACGAGTCAGAGCCTTTACTAAGTGCTGAGGATTAATTAATGGCATGTACAAAATGACTTTCCAATATTCCTTACCTTCTTAGTTTTCTCCACCGTCACACCACAAGTGCAGCACAAGTGAAGCTTAGAACTACATCTTTCCCACATACTTTACATCAGTGTCTCCCTCCAGCGTGAAGTCTCGTGTATTTAATAACTTCCCAGGAAACAGTGAAGGCTTTCCTTCTTTCAATTCGTGGGGCATCTTGAGTATGGGTTCTTGGATGTCTTCAAATCAAATTGGAGTAACTGAGGGCTCCCCCTCATTCTTTACGCAAAAAAGCTTACTCACTGGTGTAAATTCCACTGTGAGGATTAAGATGTGAGGAATTCCTAAAGGATTTTTGGCATTCCTCCCAGTCACGGCATTTCTGTTGTGTGTGAGTCACTAAATGGTCACTGAGTAGGCAAATGCTGCTATAGGCTTCCCCACATTCCTCACACTTATAGGGCTTCTCTCGGGTGTGAATTTTTACATGGTGAATTAGGTTTGAGGACGAAGTGAAGGTTTTCCCACATTCCCTACATTCATAGGGCCTCTCCCCAGTATGACTTCTGACATGTTCGGTTCGGCTTGAGGAGGTGGTAAAGGCTTTCCCACAGTACTTACATTTATAGGGCTTTATTCCAGTATGAATACGAACGTGCTTAGTAAGGTATGAGAAATACTGAAAGGATTTTCCACATACATGACAATCAAACGGCTTTTCCACTGTGTGAGTTTTTAAGTGTTCATTGAGCAGATTACACCTATTATAGGCCTTCCCACATTCCTGACACTCATAGGGTTTCTCTCCAGTGTGAATGGTGAGATGCTTACGCAGGTAAGAGACATTGAGGAAGGCTTTCCCACACTCCTTACATATATAGGGTCTCTCTCCGCTGTGAGTTCTCACGTGTCTGCGTAGGTATGAGGACGCGTGGAAGACCTTCCCACACTCCCCACATATGTATGGGATCTCCCCACTGTGAGTTTTTCTCACATGGTTATGGAGGTAGGAGGACGTAAGGAAGGCTCTCCCACATTCCTTACATGTGAAGGGTCTCTCTCCACTGTGAGTTTTTACATGTCTGCGTAGGTATGAGGAAGAGTGGAAGGCTTTCCCACAGTCCCCACATATGTAGGGTCTCTCTCCGCTGTGCGTTCTTCTTACATGATTGCGAAGGTAGGAGGAAGTAAGAAAAGCTCTCCCACACTCCTTACATATGTAGGGTCGCTCTCCACTGTGGGTTCGGATGTGTTGGGAAAGGCGTGGGGATGAAGCGAAGGCTTTCCCACATTGTTTACACTCATAGGGTTTCTCGGAAGCATGTGTGGGTACGTGAGTAATAAGGCCTGAGCGCTTAGTGAAGGCTTTTCCGCAATCTTTGCATTTGTAGGGTTTCTCTCCAGTGTGCGTTCTGAAATGTTCCACTAGCCTCGAGTAAGTGGTGAAGGGCTTCCTACACTCCTTACACTCATAGGGTTTCTCCCCAGTGTGGGTTCGCATGTGCCTATTAAGGTTTGAAGAACGCCCAAAGGCTTTTCCACAAGTCTTACAAGCATAGTGTTTTATGGTGTGCATTTGAACAGGCGCAGCGTGGCCCTCGGAGTGCGTAAAACTTCCTGCATTCCATATATTTTGAGTTTTCATGTGTGTCTTGAAATATGAGTGTTCACTGAAGATTTCTCCACACTGAGTATAGTCACAGAGTTCCCCTGCACTTTGACTTCCTGCCTGTTGATGAAGGGATGAATGATGGTTAAAAGATTTTTCAGACTCGTAAATGGATTCTACCTATCTGAAGACAGAAATATTACTGTTATTATGATTTCTGCCATTTGGATCACATGCATACGTCCCATGCTCTGGATTCCCTTCAAGTTGAATGAAGAAACCCAACAGTAAATACTGTGTCACCAGGCCTAATCTTGGCAGGATTACTCTACATTTTAATGAGATTATTTTTAGACTCTCAGTCCTCAGTTACATATGTGGGAAGGTGTACCTGTGGGAACTCTGAGGCCCCAGGTTTAGAGCTAGGATTAGGGTTTTACAGTACAGTACATTCAGGATAACCCTCTAGAGATATTTCTCCCACTAGAATGACTGCCACTTGTCTCAGACATCTCTCCTTTGTGCTAGTTTTCTAGAGATGAAGTCCCAATCTTTTCTAAGTGCAGTAAATGAGAAATCTCCCTTGTTCAGCTCAGAGTTCACCACTATGATCACCTCTTTCCTGTGACAAATACATGAATGGTGGTAAGCGCCTCATTTAGGAGGTGCTTTATCATCATTCGACGGTAATGATCATGATTTTTAATATTTTTATGACATTCTTACAGTTTTGTCATGTTTTCTTTTCAAATTGAATGATGGAGCAACAGTGCAAGAATCCTGATCCATCTGCCTCATGTTTTTTGTTTTTTTTCCTCAGTACCCAGAACCTGTACTTGCCAGGCAGGCATGGTGCTACTGAGTTAAATCCCTGGTGTGATCTGCCTAATCTTAAAACTACTGTCAGGGCCAGGGATTTAGCTCAGTGGTTTCGCCACCTGCCTCGCAAGCACAAGGACCTGTGTTTGATCCCCGGTACCAACTCCCCCACCAAAAAAAAACCTGTCAAAATATTCACAAACTTGATTTAAAAAGTCAATGTCTACTCACATATATGGGACTATGTACTTGTGGGATCTCTATAGGATTTTATAATAGGCTTGGGATACTCCCAAATTCATTATATTTGGAGTATTTCTTTAGATACATTGATCCTGCCTGGGTGAATATTAACTTATTTTACATAATGGAATTCCAAATCTCTGAGCATGAGAAATAACAAAGATCCCCTGGTAATCTTACTGTTGGTAATGCATTTGAAGTTTGTCCCCTCAAAAAGTCCTGCTGTAATGCTGCCTCCTTGGTGCTAAGTTGCATTTCCCATTCTGAAGATAAACAGAGAACAAGATTAAAGTTTAGAGAAAGAAATAACCATTTGCAGGAGTTAAAAACGACAAGGCTCATTTATATTTCTTTTCAAACAAAACCTTTTTAAGAAAGAAAGAAGAGGCCAGGGATTTAGCTCAGTGGTTCCACCACCTGCCTTGCAAGCACAAGGACACGAGTTCAATCCCCGGTACCAAAAAAAAAAAAAAAAAAAAAAAAAAAAAAAAAAGAAAAGAAAAGAAAAAGGAAGGGAGAGAGGAAGAAAGGGAGGGAGGGAAGCAAGCATTTTAACTAGGTTAAAAATGTGGCAATGGCTAATAGTGTAGATCAGTTTTAGGCAGTTTATTACAAATTGACTCTGAAAATTAAAACTGATGGTGAACAGGAAAAATATTATCAGAAATGAAACGTAGCAAAGAGTTACAAAGAGCAACAAAAAGATGATAACAAAGAAAGAGACCAAGTCGTTCTGTGAGATGGTAAAAAGTGTGGTGAGTCAGAAACAGTATGAGAAGCAGGGGGTTGCCTACCTTCTCAGATAAAGGGCCTGAAGCTTCTGACATCAGGTGCATCTCAAGGGTTCCTCATTACACTGCCAAACAGACTGAGTCTCTGACCACAGGTATTCTTCATGAACACTCACCTCGGGGACCTCCTCTCTGCCCTGTCCTCCAATCCTCTTCATGTTCCAACCAGGAGATCAGACTGGGTTTGACGAGCTCACACCCTGCACACAGGGAAAGATGCATTCACGCCAGCGGTTCAGGCAAGAGAGCACTAAATGTGGTTTAATTCTGGAGTCATGCTGCTAATGAAAGCAAGGCAATTATTATAAAAGGACTAAACATGCAAATATCTCTTTCTGTGCCCCAAATCATTAGTTATACGTGGACTCTGAAACCCCAGTGAGTGCTTACGCACTTGCTAATGTAGCACTAACACCTTGATTCAACCAGAAAATAAAGTGAAACAAACTGATACGTGTTCTTCTGGGGAAAACCAAAAATGGATCAGTGAATCTCACATATTACAGTGCATCAGATTTATCTGGATAGCTTATTAAAACTCACACAATAGGGATCTATCTGTAGTTTCTGGTTCAGTGTGGCAAGGAGAGACTAAGCCAGGTATGGTGGCACGTGCCTGCAATTCCAGCATGCAGGAGGCTGATGCAGGGAGATGAACACAAGTTTGAGGCCATTATAGGCTACACAGTGAGTTTAAGGCCAGCCTGGAGTGAGACCCTGTGTTAAAAACCAAACATAAGGGCCAGGGATTTAGCTCAGTGGTGCCACACCTGCCTCATAAGCGCAAGGTCCCGAGTTTGATCCCTGGTACCAAAAACAAACAAACAAACCCCCCCAAAAAAAACAAAAACCAAACATAAAAAAGGAGGAAGAGACTAATAATTAATATTTCTTTTCTTTTTCTTTCTCTTTCGTGGTATTAGGGACTGAATCCAGGGCCTTGAACATGCTAAACAGGTGCTGTACTACTAAGCCACACTACTGGCACAAAATATACCTTTCTAATGGGGTGGTGGTGATGCCACTCACCTTGGACCACACTGGGAACCACTACAGTAGATTAAAATGGACAGTAGTCCCCTCTCATCCATGGTTTTGCTTTCCACAGTTTGTTACCCACCATCTGTGTCCTAAAAATATTAAGTATACATTTCCAGAAAAAATTCATAAGTTTTTCAATTACACATGGTTTTTGGTAGTGTGATGAGATCTCAGTGTCCCGCTCCGCCCCGCCGGGAATGGGAATCTCCCTTAGTCTATCACAGCCCCGCCGTCAGTGCTCCTGGCACAGCCGGCATTTATTTACTAGCTGTCTTCTCAGATCGCCTGTCCTGGAACAGCAGTTACGTTAAACTAACCTCTATTTTACTAAGTGATGGCCCAGCCCTAGGAACAGAACCCCGAGGATACAGCAGGACTACTGCCCCGGGGCAGCGGCTGCGCCCTTCTCATCTCCCAGGGGACCCAGAGTCCACACACCCAGGCTGTGACACAGGAAGGACACAGCCTCCCTCTCCTCCCCGTGAGGCTGCAAGGCACTCGGCGTGCTTACCCATGGAGGCCAGGTTCTCGTAGTTCTCCAACATCACCTCTCTGTAGAGGTCTCTGTGACTTTGGTCCAGTAAAACCCACTCCTCCTGGGTGAAGTCCAAGGCCACATCCTCGAAGGTCACCGAGTCCTGAATCGGCACACACAGGCCAGCCTGAGTGACAAGTCACGGCCGTGACCTCTCCACCAACGCTCACGGGAGATGAGGGGGTGAGGCTGACACCCACACGGGGCTCTGAGGGCCTCCGCTGCCCAGCCGGGGCCCAGCAGGCCTAGGGCCCTTTCCTCTACCTACGTCTGCTCACTGTCGTGGGGCCGCAGTGGCCCTTCTGAAACACAAACTGCTCTCCCCAGAACTAGCCTGGGTGCTCTTCTCCCCTTATTCTGTACTGTTAAAGTACAGCTCCTGAGCATATCTACCTGCTAAGAGCGTGGTCCGTGAACACCCCGAGGAAAGGCCACTTCGATCCTCCTATCATCTGTCAGAGTACTGGGAGCAAATAAAAGTGCACCGGGTACCCTGAGTGTGAAGATTCATGTCCAGCCGCTGATACATGGGCAGGCTTTTCAGGTAAAACCTCACTGATACAAGCAACTCCTCTCCCTGGAGGAATCAGCTGGGGACTCAATCCTTCACCAAGGCTTTCTTGGCTTTAAGTTGGGGACACAAATCTGCTCTGGCCGGAAATGTGTCCATCGACTGGTGACAAGCGCATCACTCTGCGGGACGGTTTCTGTGTACCTGATAGCAGTTCGTCAGGCAGTCCGCCACCATCCTCTCTTCCTCTATCTTTTTTTCAAAAAGGGAGACTGGGTCCCTAGAAAGAGCTCCTGGAAAAGATAGAAGGCACAGAAATCTCTGGATGAGCGAAATTCTCATTCATGTGCCCAGAAGTCAGCCCATCCTACATGAATCCCATATAGCCCAACACGTTTTTGCTTTTTCCAGGACTGGGGATTGAATTTAGGCAAGTGTTGTACCACTGAACTGCATCTCCAGCCCTTTGTTGTTTTGTTTGTTGGTTGGTACCAGGGATTGAACTTGGGTCCCTGTGCTTGTGGAGCAGGTGGCAGAACCTCTGAGCTAAATCCCCAGCCCGGCCTTTTGTATTTTGAGGCAGGGTGTCACGTAGTTGCTCAGGCTGGCCTCCAATGTGCAGTCCTGCCTCGGCCTCCTGAGGAGCGGGGACTACAAGGGTGTGCCACTGTCTCCGCTCTAATCCAATATACTCGAGAAAATTCACACACACACACACACACACACACACACACACTGCTGCCATACAGTACAACCTTAGACCAGCTTTAGTTCTGAAGAGGTCAGGACCTAGTGAGGCAGAAGCAGGTCCCAGTGGGAAGGACGCCGGAGAGCCGGATTGCTGATGTTCTCACGGAAGGGGACCCTCCTTCCAAACAACCACCACCTCCATTCCATCCTCCCCATGAGCCAGAGATGTCAACCTAATGGCGAGTTCAGTATGCAATTGGTGTTTTGGTAAGCTAGGCACACTGTACAACTTTTTGGTGAACACTAGGAAAATCATTGATGTATCTGGTAAATTAACTTTTTTGGGGGGGGGTTGAGTACGAGTGGTAACATTATCTCGAAAAAAGAAACAAAAAGGATCTTGCGTATTACTAAGTGTCATTTATTGAGGACCAGTAAGTCTGAATTTCTATTTGGAGGATCATACACATGAGCTCACTTATTTGTCCTACCAACCCTTCACAAGAGGCACCACTCCCCATTCAGTGACAGAAAACACCGATTCACACGACCGTCCTGTACCATCTAATTACACAGTGCCGATCCTAGACTGAGTGCAGACCACTGGTGCCTCAACTCTGGTCTCCTGCCATTGTTGCAAGCACCACAGAATGGCCAGAAGTCAGTTTGGACCTGCACTGGGCAACCCAGTGGGCACTGGTCATGTGCTACCAATCACCTCATATGAAGTGAGTATGATCAAGGATATTTTGTTTGCTTTGAGAGGAGGTCTCACTATGTAGTTCATATGAGGTTCACTATGTAGGCTGGTCTCAAGTTTGGAATGGTCCTCCTGCCTCAGCCTCCCGAGTGCTGGGACTACAGCCATGTGCCACCACGTCTGGCTACTTAAGGATATTTTCTGTATTTTTACCTTAATTAAAAATTTAAACTAAAAATCTGAAACTTCATTCAGTTCATTGCAAACTTTGGAAATTTATACCCATTGGATGAGTGGTTTTTCTACTTTATCTCATAAAATTTTAGTGTCCAATGAATACTGAAGAATTAGGATGAAGAATAAAATTATCTTGGTTTTTATCATCCCCCTACCTCTAGTACTGGGTATCAAACCCAGGAACTTCAAACTGAGCTACATTCCCAGCCCTTTTAAAATTCTGAGACAGGGCTCACGAAGTCACTGTATGGCTTGTTTCTAGCTGTCCCCACAAAGCCTCATGCAGCACAGGCGGGGCTTTTCAGAGGAGGCCGGATCTAGAATATGTGACAATAGAATTGATTCATGGTGCAATGCTAGACTCCAGGGGCACCAGGATTAAGGGTGTGAGTGCTACCTGCCCTAAATAACCCAGATAAGATATGAGGTAGAAAGAGCTGTGGCCATCCCTTGCTTGCTTTACTACCTCCTGCCCACCATGAACTGTTTCTCCTGTGTAATCCCCGTCTGCCACACCAACCTTCCTCGGAGCCGGCAGGATTATGAGCTGAAACCTCTACAAACTGTGAGCCAAATAAACCTTCCCCCTTTAACTTTGGTTGTCAGGTATTTTGTCTCAGCAATGAGAAAAGTAACTAAGACAGCCACTGACTAAGGCTGCACTTGATAACTCTCCTATTTCAGTCTCCCAGAATGCTGGGATTTTAGGTTACCCTGCCCAGTTATAGCAGTTTTTTATTTCCCAAGTACTGGTTGAATTTAGGCGAACTCTACCCCTGAGCTTTGTCCATGGCCCCTTTTATTTTATTTTTTATTTTTGGCATTGGGGATTAAACTCAGGACCTTGCACTTGCGAGGCAGGCTCAGTGCCACTGAGCTAAATTCCTGGCCCAGCCCTTTTTATTTTGAGACAGGGTCTCACTACAATGCTAGTCTTGAACTTGCAATTCTCCTGACTCAGTTTCCTGGGTGGCTCTGGTTGTAGATATGTACCACCAAACCCAGCTCTAGTAAATCCTTTTGACAACGTCTGAGGTTATAATCCCGTGTTTTTAAAGAATTCTGCCTGTCATGGGTGGCAAATTTATCTTCATTCTCTCTCTCTCTCTCTGTTGGGGAAGGGAGAAGGGACCCAGGTATAAAATTTATAACATGATTAATGTTTATAACTAACAAACTTTCTTTAATCTTTATATTTCTTATGACATTAAAAAGACAGAGGAGGAGAAAGAGGAGAAACAGGAAAAGGAAGAGGAAGAGAGGGGAGGAAGAGGAGGAGCAGCAGGAGTAGGAAGAGAAAGAAAAGGAGGAGGAGGAAGAGGAGCAGGAAGAAGAGGAGGAGTGGGAGGAGGAAGAGAAAGAGGTGGAGGAGGCACTGGGGGTGGAAGGAGGCCCTGGGCTGGACAAGCCTGTAAGTATCTGTGAAGTGTTTTCCACAGAGCTGAGGGGTGGGAGTTGGGGGAGGGCTGGAGATAGCTCGGCTTTGCCTAGGATTTATGAGGCTCTGGGATTCATCCCTAGCACCACAAGAAAAAAAATGTTGCCTTATGTCTTTATTTTATAATCTTCCTGTTTAAAACAATCAGGGAGCCTGGCTCAGTGTTAGAGGGCTTGCACGCAAGAGGGCAGCCAAGAGGCCATCCCCAGAACTGCTAAAGAAATAATCAAAGAGTTACTTTTGTCTCCTTGCGGGATCTAGACTTGCAGAGAACTGAGACAGACAGTGACCCTGGAAGCTGAACCCGATGAGATTTACATCTCGGGACTGGACTGATCGGGCCCTGGGGTTGACCAAAGTGTTAAGGTTCCTGCCCATGGGAAAGACATTCAGGATCGCAGCGATCAGCTATTATTTGTGACTGATTCTGATCAGCTGCTCACTGACACGCTTGCCTTGAGACCCCAAGTGAGTAACACTCCGTATCATTGCAGTAGTAATGGTGACCCAAAGGGTCACAGTGAGGTAAAGGATAGAATCTTTTTTTTGTTTTGTTTTTTGAGACAGGGTCTCACTACGTAGTTGAGACTGACCTGGAACTCACTGTGTAGCCCAGGCTGGTCTCTAACTCACAGCAATCCTCCTGCCTCAGCCTCCCGAGTGCTGGGATCACAGGCACGCGCACCACACCTGGCTGGATAGAATCTTTTGAGTTACATATCTGTACAAAACAGCAAGCTCAGATCTCCCATCTTATGGGTCAAGATCTGAGAAACACAGTTTCTTAAGACCTCTCTTAGAGAAAGGTGCTGCCTGTGGCCAAGGAGCTGGAACAGCTGACAACAAAACACAAAATTTGGCTGTATAGGTAAAATCTCAACCAGACTAAAATCTTACGGAGTTAGGGCAGTCATCCAGAAAAAATCAGAGCATTCAGTGAGAAAGAGGACATCTAGTTTGGACTCAGATGCAACTAACAATCTAGAACCCCAAAGATACCTGACCTTGCCTTACCAGGAAAAGTGCAAAAGCCCTAGGTTCAGTTTTCAGTACCACGAAACAAAAAAGAAAAAAGGTATGATAAGCTTGGCGTATTCCTAGAATCCCAGCTACTATGGAGCTGATGAAGGAAGATCACAATGAAGCCAGTCTAGGCAGCTTAGCAAGATTCTTTTAAAATCTCAGAACTTAAAAAAGGGCTGCAGACAAGGCTCAGTGATAGCAAGCTTGCTTAGGGTGGGCAAGTTCTCCAGTTCTAGCTGGCACTGGAGAAAATAAAAAGTGTTACCTGTGTAGCTCAATCCCCCAACCTGCGCTGAGCCCGGAAGACACTCTCCTCTTCAGATGAGTGAGAGAAGCGTCTGCATCCATGAAAAGCTCTGCTGTGCTCTCCTTTACAGGACCGGTATGACTACACGGAAACCCTCACCGACGAGTTCCTGGATCGCAATGGAGTTGACAGGGACTCCAGGCAGTACGGATCAAGTGGGTATTGAACGGGCAAAGATAAACTGTGTCCATCTGTAGCAGACATCCCTGCCCAGGACCAGCAGACGATAAACGGCACATGCTCCTTGCTTTCCGTAACTTGGCTGTGCCGTTTTATGTCAAGAGTCAGACCGAAGTCCTGCGTGCCTCCAATGGGAACGTCAGACAGCGGCGTGGGAGCGTGGTGGTCCTCCACCAGAGGCCGCCACAGGAACCTCGGCCCTGGTCTGCGAAGTGTCAGGGCTCCGCTGAGTTCTGTGCAGTGAGGTCAGCATGACCACAGCTGAAATCCTTTCCCCTGACCTGATGGCTTGCTGGCTAATTGCACCCAGTTCCAGTGCCTGTTTGTTCTATCCAAACAAGGTATGCAGTCCTTCCTCCCTTACAGCCCTGCCTGGCACCACATGCCAGATGGCTGGCTGTACACCACCAGATATTTTATTTTATTTTATTTTTATTTATTTATTTTTGGTACCAGGGATCGAACTCGGGTCCACTGAGTTAAATCCCCGGCTCTGTCACCAGATATTTCTATCACTACTCTTTCTGCTGCCCATGCTCGTAATCAATAAATACTAGATGTACTTGGGGGGTCTCTGTCTTTGATGCCCAGAACAGCATAGATCAGCCCCAAGACCCAGCTTTCGCTCTGAGTCTTGTTTCTCGTCTTAATTTTTATTAGCTCTGTGCTGTATTGCCTCATAGGAGGTCAGGGCCCACTGCAGGGGTCTCTAGTAACATCCCCATTCCTGTTCCCCATATCCATCAACTACTGTATCAAGAGTGGCTGGGCTTGGCGGCGAGCACCCAGAGCCCAGCTACTCAGGGCATCGAGTGAGCAGGATTACCTGTTTAGTGTCAGCCTAGGCAACAGAGTAAGACACTGTGTCTTAAAATAATAATGATGAGGACGATGACGATGATGATGATGTTGGTGATGATAATAATTTAGCTGGATATGGTGATGCACACCTATAATCCCAGCACTCTGGGAGGCTGAGGCAGGAGGGTCGCCAATTCCATCCCAGGCTGAGCAATTTAGCAAGACCTTACCTGAAAATAAAAAATTTAAAAAAGAGTAGGGACGTAGTTCAGTTCAACGGTCCTGAGTACAATCCCTACTGCCACAAAATAACAAGAATTTTTTTAAAGGAGCCAGACATGGTGCTGCATACCTGTAATCCCAGTACTTGGAAGGCTGAGGCAGGAGGATCACTGCAATTTCAAGACTGGCCTGGGCTACATAGTGAGTTCAAGGCCAACCTAAACTACATAGTGAGACCCTGTCTCAAAAGACCAAAACCGAAACAAAACAAAAACAAAAGCCAGAGGAAATATCACAATGCTTTGACCCACAGAGATCTCTGGTTGTAGCTAACTGACCATGGTGTCCCAAGGAATGCAACAGATAAGCGGTTAACAAACCCTGCTCTAACAGACCACATTATACATGTTTAGGTATTGCAGGACATATAGTTTATGTTACAACTAAGTGTGAAAATTATAGAAAACTGGTAAACAAATGACTGTGTACCAGTAAGACTCTATGTACGAGCTAGGTATGGTGGCACATGCCTGTAATCCCAGCACTGTGGGAGACAGGCAGAAAGATCACAAATTCAAGCACTGTATCAAAATAAAATGGGATGGGGAAATAGTTCAGGTGAAGTCCCTGGATTCAATCTCCTGTACTACCTAACAAGAAACAACAAAAACCTTCCACACCTTTATGCAGAAAAACAGCAAGATTGAGTCAGGTGTGGCGGTACATGCCTACAGTCCCAGCACTCCGGAGGCTGAGGCAAGAGGGTTGCCAGGAGTCCGAGGCCAGCCTGGGATACACAGTGTGTTCAAAGCCAGTCTGAACTACACAGCAAGACCTTGTCTCAAAAAACCAAACAACAACAACAAAGTAGTTGGATGGCTAGACATGGCCCACAGACCACTGTGAGCCCCTGTCTACTTTTGAATACTTTCTGATTTACGTAACAAGGAGGCCTCCAATGTGGTAGATGACAACCTGACCTGTGACAATGCAGGCAGATTCCCTTTTTATCCAGCTACTGCACCTAAGCCAATTCACAACCCCAGACCTCCATCATAATCCTCCACCACTACCTCAATTCACACTATGTATCTTGGTCAAGGCTGCACCAAGGAAATCTGCAATAATTTACTAGAGAGGGCCGGGGATTTAGCTCAGCGGTTCGGTGGCCTGCCTTGCAAGCGCAGGGACCCAGGTTCAATTCCCGGTACCAAAAAACCCCCCAAAACAACAATTTACTGGAGAGATTACACACAAGAGACATGAAATAGCCAGATGGCCTTGAGATGCCACAAAATAATACCACTAGATATTTTATTTATTTATTTTTGGTAACAGGGTTTACCAGAGTCAAGTGATAGACTGAATTAAAGTAAATTAAACAACTAAGTTCAAAGAATTCTGAACAGTCAAAACTAGTTAAGTCTTCATCGTGAATTTAAAGTAGCTTAATTTGAAAATTCAAGCACACTAAAGCTGTTTCTTATAAATGCCTATAATTTAAAAAAAGAGAGCAAGAGGCAGGTGTGGTGCTACATGCTTGTAATCCCAGCATCAAGAGGCTGAGGCAGGAGGATGAATTCAAGGTCAGTGTGAACTACATACCAAGACCCTGTCTCCAGAAACAAACAAAAGAAATATAAGGCTATACAGTGAGAAACCTCCAACTACAGTTATATATGTAGGGGCTTTCAAACCACATAGACCAAACCAAGCAGCTGGGTAACTGTAACAAAGCACTTATAGTCTCTGCTTTATGTCCATCTCACCCTCTGACACCGCTGCTCTCCCTGCCTTCCCTCACCGCAGCCCCAAGCCACTTAAAATGTGGAGGTGCTGAGGCCTGGGATTTAGCTCAGTGGTTCCGCCACCTGCCTCGCAAGCACAAGGACCTACGTGATCCCCGG